TTATAATCTAAATAAGGTAGTTACTAGAATTGGAATTTAACGGAATGTAGCTTTGGCACTGGCGAAGTCACGCATGGCGGGCTGGATGTTGGAGATCACGATTCGTGCACTGTACAATTATTTGGTTCGCTACACTGTATACTATTCAGAAATTGTATAGATCATACAATTTCTGAGCTGTACGCATTTGATGTTACTTTTGTAATGCATTGTATTAGATATAATTAAGATTTTGTCTCAAAAAAAAAAAAAAAAAAAAAAAAAAAAGAAACCGACTTCTAATGTTGATTTAAAAACTATAGTACAGAAGTGATTCTGATACAATTTATATGGGATCAGTCTGTAAATATATCCTTTCAGATACAAAAAGAATTTTTCAAATCGGTTTACAACTGACGGAGTTATGTGGCAATAAACATAAACAAAAATTTAACGGAATTGAGAGGGGGGAAAGGGATTGTTAGTAATGGAGACTGAGAATCCCATTGCTAGCAATATACCCAACCAGGTCGACCTCCTCGCGGTTCCCCCTAGAAACTATCATGGTTAATTCCTCATGAATTCATCATGATGGGCTAACTGGCCTGTTTTCATTCTCATCTATCACCCTTCACTGGTGCTCCGCCAGCGTGTCCCGTAAGCGCAGGCGGGGTTACCATACCATTTTCACCCATCAAAAAAAAACCGAATTGAGAACCTTAATCCTTTTGAACTCGGTTGAAAATCCGTTTACGTCTGTTATCTTTAACAATATACCAATAGAAGCATTTACTCCGTGGCTTTGTTGCTACCTAGTTTTTGATTTATATTAAAAAAGGAGAGTTTAGTATTAACATTGTTTATTAAATAAAAGTATTATAAAATATTTGTATTTCTTTTAATGTATTTTGTTGTTCTAAATACTATTAATTTTACCTGGTCTGGTTTGATCGGGTAGAACCAGTTCAACGATTAACCGTCTGACCCCGAAGGAGATGGTTCCGTGTTCGTTTGCACTTCGATGAGATTTAGTTCAGTTTGCAATGTGTTGTTAATTAAAAAATGAAAGTACAATGCTTCTATTGGCATATTCTAGGAAAATATAAATTCTGGAAACTTTGTCCTTCATCATCCTGATTGACTAATTATTGTCAAATCTGGCATATTAACTGTGGTGTAGAGCATGGACTATACATTATATCGTTCCTTTATAAGGTCTTCGCAGGCCAGTTAATATTGAAAATTAAAGTAACAATTTACATTATTGGTATTTGCTTATATTTGTAACGTGCGTTAGCGGGCCTTCGTATATTTACGAAGACAGTCCAAACACATTTGGTACTGAATAGTTACACCTGGGGGTGTTATTTATCCTTTATTAGCCACATTACAAAAAATGTCTGGTACAAAAGGTTATAAGGATATTTTCCATAAAATGTATACGTGTAGATAGGGATCTTCTTAAATATTATAATAATGAAAATAAAAAAAAAAACAATTTAATCTTTAAAAAAATTGCGATTAGATGTCGCCAAATAAACTAGTTGCACAAATTTTTTAAAAAACTTTATCTAGAGAATTTAATCAATACATCTTTCTTTGTTTTTGTCGGTTGCTTAATTAACTATAGATTAGTTTTATTTCAAGTTTTGATTAGGCCATGGAACCGGTTTTATTCGGTATTCGTTGAAACCGGTTTATAAGGTAATAACCGGTTCTCTTGATTATTTACAATTTTTTTTTATATATTATTACGTTTTTGTCTACTCTTGATGTAGAGAGATAGATAGATAATATTTATTACCACTAATAAAAGTAAAAAAAAATCACAATAAAAAGAAAAAAAAAAAACAATTAATTTTGCTAATTGCTGGAGCCGCCTTAGCTGTTGCTACATATGCTCACCTAAAGCGAGATGTACCTATATGGCGCTGAGTTTCAAGCGCAGATCCTCGCTGCCACTTATATTAATTTAAAACAACAAGCGAACGAAGTTATCCGGAGGACAAAGTCAAGTTGGCGTTCAAATACTACTATCAGGGAATCCATCTTTACATTCTAGCATCAGAGAAATATTTATACACCTATACAAGATAAGAATATAGGGTACACATGTGTATGAATTTCTTTATTCCCCCATAACTTCTAAATGCCTGAACAGATTTGGATGTACGGAGTTTGTTTGAAATCCTTACATCATCATCACATATATTGGCTATAATGTTTGTAAAATCAGTTGTTCTGGCTAAAGCAGCTTTTAAATTTGCAGAGTATAACGTAAGTTCTTGTTCAAATCAAACTAAAGTATCGAAAAATTATAGTTTTTGGAAAATTTACGGATAATTTCGACAAGTTTTTGTATAAATACTCTTAATGGGTTGTCAATGTAAGGCGGGATATCCCCACATCTGTTTTGGATCATGCCGCAAGTTGCGTATGTTATGTAAGTGGGCGTAATGCGTAATGTTACGCGCGCTGCGCAAGCGCATTTGTACGTCGCAGTGTAGAGGTCACGCGTTCAATTCATTAGGTTTTCCCACGTTACTAAAGTTTGTTTAGTTAAAAAAAAAACACGCTTTGCGGTTTGACTATCAATATTTGACGGCTGGTTTGTTTTAGTAGCCGATTTTTAGAGGAAAATATTTTATTTTTATATATTAATTATTAGTTTCATGTCCGTTACTTCGTGTGAATTTCAAAAGTAGGATAACCAATGGAATAGATCACTTCAAACTGGCGTATTAAAACATAAACCAGTTAAGATCTTTAGGAATACAACAATGAAAACCGCATCTAATTCGGTGCAGTAGTTTTAACGTAATACCTGAACAAACATTCTGACAAAAAAAAAACGGTTAAAATTTCTAAACATATTATTTTGATTTCTAAATTAAACATCAATTTTTCTTAAATATCTTCTATGTATAGACACCATAAAGTTGCATTTTAATATAATTTCTAGTAAGAAAGATTTTAAACGAACTCATATAGAAAACTGATAATAAATCGACGACCTTGTGGAGTAGTGATAAGCACATTATTTTGTGTAATGAGGTCACAGATTCGATTCTTGATCGGATCAAATTAGAAAACGAACTTTTCCAAATTGATTCAGGTCTGAGTATTCTGAGCTGTACCCCCAGATGTCCGTTAGGGCAGGCGATTGGTAGAACTTTGTGGTTACAAGATTAAAAATGTATCCGAATATAAATAAAAATAGATGCCAAAACAGGTATACATAAATGGAAAAGGTGGTAATGTCTACTGACGGGGACCTAGACTGCCCCGTCAAGTATCATCCCTACTTGTACAACAATTAGTCCATTACCTTAAGGTTGTCTTGAAAAGATTGCTCTCAGTAATAAGACTGCCTCACTGTACTTATACAATTGTATCGTTATATTTGTTAATTGTCTTACTTATTTTCTATATTGTATAATACAAATAAAGTATACTCATTAATTCATTCATTTAAGATCAGTTAGAGTATATTTTTTTTTATTTACTTATTTATTTATTTACAATAAACCTTATATCCTGTCTAAGGGAAGAGTCAAAAGTCACAAAATTTTATAATTCATAAGCAAGGACCCCTTGACAGTCGATTCTCTCTGCTTATCTCGTAAAGGACTTAGTTTGAAGACGCATAAATAAAAAAAATGTACTATTTATTATAATTTGGTTGGTTGAGGAACCAATTCTAGATTATTTTATGGTACTATTTTTAAGTCGACATGAATAAAGCCGTAGGAATGTAGCTGTAGCATTAATGCGAAAAGAAATCGTATAATAAATAAATTGTTATTATAGGTAGTTAGATATAATTGTATTGTATTGTAAAATCTTTACATAATTCACATTGAATACTGATAAATGATTTAATATACAATGGCGGACTTGTCCCATAAAGGGATCTCTTACAGTCAACCTTTGAGAAGCTGAAAGAAAACTGTAGAATGTATAAGGGTAATAACCGTACAATTAAAGATAAACTAAATAATTCGCAGTAAAAAAATTGAATATATAATACAATAAAAACAGCTCTATACACCTACATATGTAAATAATAAAAGTACATGAATAATAATATAACATTAATACATAAATAAATAAAAACTTACATAAATACATATAATATAAAAACAAATTGTTGTCGTTGTTAATATTTAAAGAAAACACAGCAAAAGTAGTTACCCATTCAGTATTATTGCCTACTGTAGTGGGTAATATTAAAGTTATTGGCCATTTGTTTGTTTGATGCATTTTAATGCAATTTCTATAGGTATTTATACCTTATATTTTGAGTCAGAATTGAGCTATTTATATTTTTCGTCGGTGATACGACTTTTTTCATGTTTTTTGTTTGCTTTTTAACTAATAGCTATAAAGATGAATGTTTACAAATTATATACATATTTATTTATTGTTTGTTAAAAATTTATTTTTTTAAAACTACATTAAATAAATAATATTTATTTTCTGTATACTAATTTTAGTACAGTAACGATTGTTATTTTAATAAAATAAATTTTTGAACATCTCTGTAAATTAATTGATGCCCATTAATTCTTCTCTTTCCGCGTCTACGGAAAGTAGATAAAGTTTTGTTTGAGAAACCAGTTCAGGGTACAATAGGACTGATATACCTGAAGAAGGTATAAAAAATGAAAAGCCTTTAAAATAATATATATATATATATAAAAATAGATTTCTATTTCTAGACGAAAATTTAATTTAAACAAATAAATATTACAACAATATATGTATGTACCATAAACGCGCATTCTAAATATTAAACACTCCCGGCGATATATTGTTTGCATTTGACAGACCGATAGATAAACTGATAGCTATTGTAAATAAATACACATATTTTAATGGATAAAACATTTGATGGCCTTCAAAAACCTTGTTTATTGCGTTCACATTTCAAAATGATATTTACACAAGGGCGCACGATCATAACAACTTTAATTTATTAATTATATTAACAATTATAAATAAATAAAAAAAAATCTTACCTTAAAATATTCAAAATGAAATAAATCAGATCTTGAAAATTATAACTGTGAAATTTTTCAATGTATTTTCAAAGTACACTCGCTGTAATAAATTTCGTTTCGCTTACGATAAAGAACGCGACGCGTGCTCGCCTCACCGCGAGCGCGAAACGTATGAATATTATGAAGCAAATGCCAAGTGAAAAGGTACACTGTAATAAGTAGCTGTGACGCTTAGCGTAGCCGGGTACGCCTAGCGGTCGACCGCTCACCAGCACCAGACAATGATTGCGACATTAGCTCTGGTGTCGGCTTTAGAGGAAAAGAATCATTATGTTTGTCATTATTATGCATAACGTAGCGAAAAATTGATATATTATAGTATGCTTTTGACCATAATTTTTGGACACACTGTATATAAATGTACTCGTATGTAGCGTTTATAGAACACGCTGTATAGTAATAAATATCTTTATTTAATGGTAATCACGTTTGTGCTATTGGTTAAGAACTTTTTTTTTATACAACTTAGAATGGCAAACAAGCTGACGGCCCACCTGATGGAAAGTGGTAACCGTTGCTTATAGATATGGGCAATACCATGGACATAACAGAGTATACTGTTTCGCCCATGATACCTCCTATGCGTTGCCATTCCTGAGGACTCAGGTGGTGTCCTCTGTACCCTGTAAATTCACGCCATATCCCACTCTTCAAACCGAAACACAGCCATGCAAACACAACTGCTTCACGGTAGAAACACGAATGGGACATAGGTACCCAAGAAATCGACTTTTGTACAGTCTCCCTCTTACGTCGAAAAAAACTCGCTTATTTTTTATTTGTACCCCTACTATTGGACATCAGCAGCGTATTATTCATTTGTTTACATTTTCATTAAGTTCTATTGAAACAGAACACCCAGATCAAAATGAATATCCAAGTATTTTAAAAAAATCGTATTACAGAAAATACATAGTAAGTAAGTAATAATAAAATTATTTAAAAGAGCAACACGCAAGTTTCTTGCTCGTTCTTCTTGTGATGAGACAGCTTTCCGAACGAGCGGTAGATTAAAAGAAATGTAATGACTATTCAAAAGTGCTTCAATGTAAGTTTATTTGAATAAATGATTTTCTATTCTATTCTATTCTACATATAAGTTTTTAATAATTATTATTGAATAGTACATTGCGCATGCGGCTGCGCATATTGATGTGATGCGCTGAAATATTCGCGTATAGGCAAAAAATCGGCGCGCGCGCAGCATTCAAATTCACACGATCTCAGTTGAATGACAATACAATTTATAACTAGGAAGCCGATCAAATAATGTAATTTTTACAATTATTTAACTAATAATGCGACAGAGTTAGATGGAAAATTGTTCAATAATATGTCAATGTATTTAATCTGTAGTAATGACATTGTAAATCAATATTTTACATGTAATGATTATGAGTCCTGTCACACAGAGCCGTAATCAAAGGTTGATATTTTTTTTTTAAATGGGTGACAATGGAATGGTAACCCCACCCGCGCTATTGGTATACATCGGCGGGGCACCAGTGAAGGTTGATAGGTGAGGATGAAGCAGGTCAGTTAGCCCATCGTGACGAATTCAACAAGAATTGTTCACGATGGTTTCCAGGGGGAACCACGTGGAGGTCGACCTGATAGGGCATATTGCTAGCAATGTCGAACTCCATTGCTAACAATCCCTTTCCCCCCACCAAAGGTTGATATTCGATTGCCTGGTTCAGAATAGAATTGTGGGGACTGTAGTGATTTTTACCCCATAGATCCAGATACATTAGACTAAGCTTTATGTGCAGGTCTAGGGGTGTTATGTTGAGGGCCAACACTATTGCTGTTGTAGGAGCTGTTTTCATGCAACCGCTAACAGAAGAGCAAAACAGTCTCTGAAAGCTTTTTAGTTTGGCGGCGGTGGTGGATAGTTTTGTCCTCGGCCACCAAACCAGTGCACGCGGCCTACATATAACGGTGGGTATGTCAACGGCCTTACGAGCTATTAGGAGATACGAAGCAAGTGTTGATCAATAGAGAAATTTTGAGAAATTCAATTTTTATTTTAAATTTTTGAATAACTTTTTTTGGGACTTTTTGACTGCAGTTGAATGTTGAGATTGCAGAATCTAATGTTGCGACATAGTCAGCATCTCGTCAGCAGCAAAACGTCCTCACTGAAAAGCTCCAAAACACTTACATGTTATTGCTACTAACCTAACTAAGTTTCATCCCAACCATCTGGACGAGTGGCGGTCTTCCACCGTGCGGTTTTCAAAGCACTTTCTTCCACGCACAACCATTCTTTGGAATCAACTTCCAGCAGCAGTATTTCCGAACCGATACGACAACATAACCTTCAAAAAAAGTATATTTCTTTTTAAAAGGCCGGCAGCACACCTGCAATGCCGCTGGTGTAGTGGGTGATCATGGGCGGCGGTAGTCACTTACCTTGGTGAGTCGCATGCTTGTTTGCCCCCTGTGTTGTAAAAAAAAAACCACGTTCCTTGTTTAGTGTTATTAACGAAATAACAACCTAGTCACATCCTGGTCAACCGTAGGACGTTATTGTTTAGATTTACAATGTGACCGTGTGGGGGGGAAGACATTGTTAGTAATGGGGTCTAATTGACCCATTACTAACAATGTCTTCCCCCCACGCGGTTCTCCCTAGAAACCGTCGTGTTTAATTCTAGTAGAATTCGTCACGATGGGCTAACTGACCTACTTTTTCATCCTTACCTGTCATCCTTCACTGGTGCCCCGCCAGTACCGTTAGCGCGGGCGGGGCTACCATTCCATTATCATCCATTAAAAAAAAAGAAGCAACCATGTAAAGCTAAACAATAATATAATATTACAATAATAATCCACTTACGAGTATATAGCATTGTATATATATATATAGTATATTATAGTATATAGTTGCCATTCCTGAGTGCTCAGGAATGGCAACGCATGGGGGGTATTATGGGCGAAACAGTATACTCTGTTATGTCCATGGTACTGCTCATGTCTATAGGCGACGGTTACCAGTTTCCATCAGGTGGGCCGGCAGCTTGTTTGCCATTCTAAGTTGTGTAAAAAAAACTAATCCCCATTTTTTTTATTTGTTATTCCCCCGTCTAACTTGTCACGCTTGGCAGGCGGGTTGCCAATCCGCCTGCCAAGCGTGGCAACTACTGGCAAAATCCCCTAAGGGGGAGGCTTATGTTCAGCAGTGGACAGTTAAAGGCTGATACGATGATGATGATGAAAATGTATTGCCTCACAACTGAGTCTTCAAAATGAAATACAACCACGTTGGCACTGTCTCCACTCCAAATAATAATTTCAGTATTTAATCGATTGAGAAATCTTGTTATGCAGAAAGCGTAGAATATTCTAGGAGGTCTCCATCGAGGAGTATTATACATTTATTGAATAGCCATAAACCGGCTTCTAGTGAAAATGTATTCTCATAAGGAAAATCTTTATTGGCCACATTCTACAACTTTAATATTGATTAGATACATACAGTGAGGATAAATGTTGATTGCTTACTTCTATACAGGTGGAGGCGAATGAATTAGCAACCTTTAAAAGATTAATTACTCTGACAGTGAAACTGACTGATCTTCTTTGAAGAAACATGGGTCCAAATGAGACAATACATTTTAATTGTCCATACCGTGAAGTAGTTGTTTGCATGGCTGTGTTTCGGTTTGAAGGGTGGGATATGGCAGTGAATTTACAGGGTACAGAGGAATAACATCTAAGTCCTCAGGAATGGCAACGCATGGGGGGTATCATGGGCGAAACAGCATACTCTGTTATGTCCATGGTACTGCTCATGTCTATAGGCGACGGTTATCACTTTCCATCAGGTGGGCCGTCAGCTTGTTTGCCATTCTAAGTTGTATAAAAAAAATGGGGATTTTTTATACAATCTAGTGATTATATAAAAGGCAACCATTTATAGACCAACTATACATTGTAACAATGTTTGGTATGCGAGGATGCATAGCTATTCGGTCTAAGAGGTGGATGTCGGCCGGTGCAATGTATCTCGCAGTTTATTGGCAGGCGGCCTCAACAGGTGGCGCACGCGGCACTTAAATAGTTAAATAATGTTAGTAACACATGTTCCGTGTTAGTAATAAGCGTTGGTAACATAAATAATCATAAAATCTACAATTTTATACATGCCCATACGTATACTCTCTATTAACCGACTCTCTGTGAAGTGCACTTACTTGTATAGATTTTCAACCGACGTCAAAATAAGGGTTCTCGATTCGAGTATTTTTTTCCTCAAAAGTAACTTTGATTGCAAGAAAAAAAAATAAATAAAAATCTTTTTATTGAACTATATACAACAAAATAAAATAAAATGCAGGTCTGGCTTTAATTTCTACGGCCTTAGCATCATCACGCTACGCCCTGGGAATTCGAGGAAGCTGTGAGTAGATATGTTTACAGTCCACGCGTCCAGCCCGTTTTGTGGTGTTCGCATTAATAAAAGTTTAGATGTCTTGTTTACTGTGAGACCTAACATGAACTATCCATATGTTGTGGTTTCGATTTCGTAGTCAATTTGTTTATCAAATATCATTTAAATACATTTTTTTTTAATGGGTGATAATGGAATGGTAACCCTGCCTGCGCTAACTGTATACGTTGGCGTGGCACTAGTGAGACATGGATAGGTGATGAAAAGACAAGTCAGTCAGCCCATCGTGATGAATACACATGGAATTCAGCGCGATGGTTTCTAGGGGGGACCACGTGGAGGTCGACCTGATCGGGTATATTGCTAGCAATGGGACTGATAGTCAGAATTACTAGCAATCCCTTCCCCCCTATTCATATACATTAGACCGCGCGATTGAATTATAAACATTTCAAATATTTTAATAAATTTCTACATTTACAATAAAGTCTTCAATAAATTCGTGTATAATATAGTATATATCATATATGTGTAAGTATATTTGTTATTCATATATATTTATTCGTTTATATATATAATTTTAGTATGTATGTATATCAATAATTAGTAGTACCGCATTCGAGTATTCTGACACTTCCCTATGGTTGACTGGGAGAGAATGCTTTTAGCATTAAGTCCGCCATGTACACATATTTGTACTAATGAATAAATAAATAAATAAATACATCTCTAATATAATCATTACTTAGTATACATTGACGCTTATCTGTGAGAGCTGATATAAT